ACTGCATCCGAAGAAGTGGGCTGCAGTCCACGAAAGCTTATGCTCTAATAAATTTGTTAGTCTCTAAGGTGCCACAAGTACTCCTGTTCTTTTTATGGTATGAAAGGATTTCTACTCTATGTGTCCAAATGAAGTCACAATAAACCAATACATATGGACACTAAAGATGAAAAACAATTGGATCATAGTCCATTGGGTGAACCAAACTATATATTTCAAAAAGACAGAAAACAAAGAAGTGCTAGGCATACAGAGAAAAGGAAATACGTTCAAACTTGTGGTCATATCTGAACAAAAATCCTGTTTAATATTAAATATTTGTGGTCCAAACAGTTGGATGACAATTTTGCAGATTTCTCTCTTACTGGAGAATGCTCTGGCAGATTAAAAATTGAATGCCTTTCGTTCTCCAAAAAGTACATTAAAAGTTACAAAATATTACTATTTCCGGTACAATAATATTTGAGTAAACAAAGAAGATTCAAATTCAGGATTTTGGTTAAGGGTTTAATTAAATCATTACTTACTTTGGGGTCTTCGGGGAATATGTTATCCACCAGACGTTTGTAACGAGGGCGCAAAGCAGAACAGCAACAGCATACTCCTGGAAAAACATTTGCCAGAAAAACAAAAAAAAGCAAAAAACAAAAAAATTAGGTTATTAGAAGGTGAATGTTTTAGAAGCTGTATAGAATCATTTAAGAGAGGAAGAGTGCGAGCCTATGTCACACTGACAGACCCAGGGCGTCGACAAGATCAAACCTGGGACCTCTGAAGCTTAGTGCATGAGCCAAAAGCCACATAGTCTTCTACACAGCATTAGCTAAGAGCCATCTCTAAGTAGTCTTGGTGCCACTAGAGGGAGATAGAGCACCATACCCAGGAGGTGTATGGGCTACACATACAGGAAAACACAGCTGCAAAGTTAAAGGGTAACTATACTGTGCAACCTCACTTTCTAGAAAAGTGTCATTTGTGGAAAGCGAGTTAAACAAAAAAATTAATTAATATTGTAATATAGCTCATTTTTTGCACACCTTGCCATGTTTTCCTTAGGAAGAAGTATCTGCCAGAAAGATAACAGGCAACAATTCCACCAGAAGATGATGTGCATTGGCATAAAGACTTGTAGAGCATGGGTCTATCCTACTCCAGGGCCTGAAAGTTAAAAACTTTCATCTGGAGCAGTGGGGCAAGACACATCATCTGAGTTAAACAGGGGCAGTCAAGCAGCAAAACCACCTCATAAGAAAGGTCATACCGGGTCAGACCAAAGGTCCATCTAGCCCAGTATCCTGTCCACCAACAGTGGCCAATGCCAGGTGCCCCAGAGGGAGTGAACCTAACAGGCAATGATCAAGTGATCTCTCTCCTGCCATCCATCTCCACCCTCTGACAGACAGAGGCTAGGGACACCGTTCCTTACCCGTCCTGGCTAATAGCCATTAATGGACTTAACCTCCATGAATTTATCCAGTTCTCTTTTAATCTCTGTTATAGTCCTAGCCTTCACAACCTCCTCAGGTAAGGAGTGACAAGTGAAGAGCCCTTCACTTAGGAAGGAAGAATCCCATTCACTGCTACAGGCTGGGGACCGACTGGCTAAGCAGCAGTTCTGCAGAAAAGGACCTGGGGATTACAGTGGACGAGAAGCTGGATATGAATCAACAGTGTTCCCTTGTTGCCAAGAAGGCTAATGGCATATTGGGCTGCATTAGTAGGAGCACTGCCAACAGATTGAGGGACGTGATTATTCTCCTATTCGGTACTGCGTCCAGTTTTGGGTCCCCCACTACAGAAAGAATGTGGACAAACTGTAAAGAGGGCTACGAAAATGATTAGAGGGCTGGGGTACATGACTGATGAGGAAAGGCTGAGGGAACTGGGCTTATTTAGTCTGCAGAAGAGAAGAGTGAGGGGAGGATTGATAGCTACCTTCAACTACCTGAAGGGGGGTTCCAAAGAGGATGGCGCTAGGCTATTCTCAGTGGTGGCAGAAGAAAGAAAAAGGAGCAGTGGTCTCAAGTTGCAGTGGGGGAGGTCTAGATTGGATATTAAGAAAAACTATTTCACTAAGAGGGTGATGAAGCACTGGAATGTGTTACCTAGGGAGGTTGTGGAATCTCCATCCTTAGGAGGTTTTTAAGGCCCAGCTTGACAAAGCCCTGTCTGGGATGATTTAGTTGGGGTTGGTCCTGCTTTGAGCCAGGGATTGGACTAGATGACCTCCTGAGGTCTCTTCCAACTCTAATGTTCTGTGATTCTATAACAACTGCCTGCAACAACTGGTGAAGTGAGCAAGCCACGTGTTTCAAATCTTACTTAGCTTGTTCAAGCTTAGGAATTAGATTGCATATTTATCTTATTTCTTTTGTAACCAAGTGTGACCTTTGTAACATACCACGTGTAAATCAGTTTCTAGTTAATAAACTTGTTTTACTCTTTTATCTAAACCAGTGTGTTTGATTGAAGTATTTGGGAAATCTTTAGTCAGGTCAACTGGACTGATGCATATTCGTTACCCTTTGTTGATATGACAAACTAGTTAATGAGCTTATAGAGTCTACTGAACAGTAGAAGACACATTTCTGAGGGGCAAGGCTGGGACTGAGGGGCATGCAAGTGTCGCCCTGTACCTCTTCATGGATGGCTGGGCACCGCATTTAGTACTCAGCTAGAGAGTAACTTTACATGCTGGTGGTTGAGTGTGATCAGCACCTAGGCTAGGTCTACACTACCCGCCTGAATCGGCGGGTAGAAATCGACCTCTCGGGGATCGATTTATCGCGTCCCATCGGGACGCGACAATCGATCCCCGAATCGACGCTCTTACTCCACCAGCGGAGGTGGGAGTAAGCGCCGTCAACAGAAAGCCGCAGAAGTCGATTTTGCCGCCGTCCTCACAGCGGAGTAAGTCTGCTGCGATACGTCGAATTCAGCTACACTATTCACGTAGCTGAATTTGCGTATCTTAAATCGACTCCCCCCTGTAGTGTAGATGTACCCCTAGAGAATTTTGTTGTTCATGAGCAAAGCAGTGTAAAAAGCATCCTAGGCTGGAGAGCTGAGGGGACACAACAGCTCATGTTGCATCCTGGGGAATCTCACAGGAACAACAATGTTAGATTGCATGTGGCTGTTAAGGCCAGTTTAGTATTTTGAAATACATATGTAATGCACTTTGATTGGGACAACTATGTAGTAAATCATACATTGTAAGTAAGTCATTTGCTGTAAAGTTAATCTCATGCTCAAACAAGAGTATTTCCACAGCCCAAACCAATACTCTTAATAACCAACAATTGTTAAGAGAAAAAAAAACCCTAACAATATACTGCTGAAAATATTTCTTTTCATGATTAACAGAAAAGCATTCAGACACTCATTCTGTTGGATAGGTGTCATAATCCCTTTGTAAATACTTCAGAGACAATACGTAAATTTCTTGAGTACTGGGAACCACTGTGTCCTAGAAATGTCTTTGCCACTGTAAGTTACATTAAATGGGGGTGGGGGACAACAAGAAAAATGCAAACATCCAAACAAGACAATAAATTGCACCAGAACTGATCCATTTATTGCCTTATAGACTCATAGACTCATAGATTTTAAGGTCAGAAGGGACCATTATGATCATCTAGTCTGACCTCCCGCATGATGCAGGCCACAAAAGCTGACCCAACCCCTTTCCCTTGACTCTGTTGTTCAAGTCCCCAAATTCTGTGATTTAAAGACTTCAAGTCGCAGAGAATCCTACAGCTAGGGACCCCCGCCCCTTGCTGCGGAGGAAGGCGAAAAACCTCCAGGGCCTCTGCCAATCTACCCTGGAGGAAAATTCCTTCCCTACCCCAAATATGGCGATCAGTAGAACCCCGAGCATGTAGGCAAGATTATATTGGCTCTGGATTATCCTTTCACAATATAAGGAAGGGACATATTATTGTATGTGTGTATACACACACACTTCATACTTACATCTGTAATTTACAGTAAGCAATAAAATTAGTCTGATATTTAGTAGCCAATTAATTATTCTGTGAATGCAATATGCAAACCAAAATATACCAAGATGCTCCCTTCCCATCCTTCTATCATTTGTAGGCTATTAAGACAACTAAATGAAATTACACTTTTAAAAATGCCTGTTCCTCCATCTTCTTGCCCCATTTCCGCTGTCAACCGCACTAACTGACAACGTTCTACTCAGATACATCAAAAGAGTCAGAGTAAAATATGCAGTCTCTCTATCATAATAAGCAACACACATCACATTTCCTGTTCACAAAGACAAGAGAATATGGGTTAGGTATAGTTCATTTTTTTCTGGGGTTGAGCACAACCAGATTGTTCAAAGGAATAAAAACCCATTATAATTTACATGACAAGAAACAGCAATTAAAGTAATAATGCACATTTAAAATCAAAAATGGAATATAGCCAGCTAGCCATCTGGTACATTCCTCTACCAGTGCAGATTTATTCCCTGCAGTATTTTTAAGTGCTTTATCCAATCTAGTTTTAAATTATTCCAGAAATGGGTCAGATATGATGTGATTCCAACTCATTGGTCAAGTCCCAGATCCACAGTAGAGCAGCTCTGAAGCACAGGAGCCATTTAGAGATAAGCTAATATTAGTAATTGTCCACAAAAATCAGTGGGAGCCTGCCTCTCAAATCTCAAAACACAATACCTACCCAAATAGCAAGCAATATAATGGGGTAGGGGAGGTGAACACTTTAGAGGAGATTAGATGCCTACCAATCGGATCCCCTTCCTAACATCTAACACAAACATACAAAAACTTTGCTAAAACATCAAGGTTGCTAAGGGAAAACAACACCCACGTTAAAACAAAACAGACTTAAGAATGTCTGGTTACTACCTTGATGACTGCAGTTTATTTGTTTGGGGGTAGGGACAGTGTTTAGGAGGGGATAGGTGTGTACGGTGAAGGTCATATCCATAGTTATATGACTTTACTCAACATTTGGATCTCTATGCAACTCAGAAACCTGTGTCATTTTTAGCCATATTTATCATCCAACAAGATGTATGGAAGGTCCAAGTATAAGCTATCCGCTGGTTTCAAACTCAATAACTGGTCAGGAATTTTCCACTCTTGCTTTCTACCAGTCAAGAGGAGCTGTAATAGATACACAACTCCTTGTCTAATTTTGCTGTATCCCTCTCCATTACAGAGACTGTACAGCACTAGATACTGTTACCCTATCCACCTCTTCTCTCCCTCCTAATAATTAACTTTCCATTTGGGAAAGAAGAGCCCCATTCAATTTCAGTTATGCCCATTTTCTGACAATTTAATTCATTGTTTTTCATCTTATGTAACTTGCAAACAACAATTGTGAAATTTACAACAATTTGTTTTTAAACACTTGGTCCTTCAGTCTACCTTCATCAGTCCTTTGATTCATTCATGAATACATAGTTGAAAACACAGTATAATAGATAATTTCCACAGCACCAGATAGAGATAACAGAAATATTACTTCACTATAGGACTGAGGGGGGGGGGGGGGGGGAAACTTACTACATTTCACAAGAATCCTCCACAGCACCACATCAAAATATCAATCGAGTAAGTGATTTACGTGATTTTTTTTAAAAGGACACCTACAAATATCTTAAAGAAACCTATTTGTACAGTACAACATTTTGTAATATTTGATATTGCTTAAAATAAGGAAACAAGACTGAACTTGCAACAACTGGCTAAATCAGGTACATATTATAGAATACTAAAAAACTGAAGTAAAGATCATCATAAGCAAACTAGGGAAATGTGGTCTACATGAAATTACCATAAGGTGGGTGCACAACTGGCTAAAAGACAATACTCAGAGAGTTATCAACAGTTCGCTGTCAAACTGGGAGGAAGTATCTAGTGGAGTCCCGCAGGGATCTGTCCATTTTCATTAATGACTTGGCTAATGGAGTGGAGAGCATGCTTATAAAATTTGTGGATGACACCAAACTGGGAGGAGTTGCAAGCACTTGGGAGGACAGGATTAGAATTCAAAATTACCTTGAAAATTGGAGAATTGTTCTGAAATCAACAAGATGAAATTCAATAAAGGCAAATGCAAAGTACTACTATTAAGAAAGAAACCCAATACACATCTAAAAATGGCGAATAACTGGCTAGGTAGTAGTACTGCTGAAAAGAATCTGGAGGTTGTAGTGGATCACAAATTGAATACGATTCAACAACTGGATGCAGCTGTGAAAAAGGAAAATATTGTGGGGTGTATTAACCAAAGTGTCATATGTAAGATATGGAAAGTAATGGTTCTGGCTCTATTCAGCACTGGTGAGTCCTCAGCTGGAGGTGAGTACCCAAGTCTGGGCGCCACACTTCAGCAAAGATATTGGAATCTTATTAGATTATTTTCCTAAATTAGAACAATTCCATAACTCTTAAGAGTAACTTTAGCAAAATAATTTGAGATAGTTATTTCAAATAACAGAAAACATTCTAAATACATATTTTCCATACAGCTATTATGTTTACAATTAATGAAAATACTGTTCATTCCAATAAAGACTTTCTTTTTTAATCATCTTTCACATACTTGTGTCCCTTTCTCCCATTTACTGTCAAGAAAGGCCAAATTAAAAGCTCAGTACTAAAGGCAACTCTTCTATACCAAGAGCTACAACAGCAAGCCTAAAAACAGTGTTTTTGACAATTGAAGCAATATAATCTGAATGTAAAATAACTGAGAGGATTTGATCTTGACACTTATTTATGAGCTGTTTTGCTGACTCATTCTGGTAGCCAGACCATGTGACAAACAGGACACAACTGCTACCCTTTGTGGGGAGGATATTCACCACACTGAATTTTGTTCAACCAAATGAATTTGCCAAACTAAACAAAATAGTACAGTAGACTTGAAACATGTCCATTTTACCTTTTACCCCCACTGCAGATTTCCCATAGTATCTTTCAATTGTGTTGTATTTACTACATTTTACCATCTGAGCAACAGGAACAAAGAAAAAGATTCTGGCGTGCTTTTGTGCCCTGAACTGGTTTGCTTATGGCAAAAAAAATAGAATGGGGAAAACAATATTCATAAGCAAATAAATATATGAATCTTGAAGTTAGGTCAGTGGAAAAAGCTGTATCAGTACATTATATTCCATATAAAAGTTTTACACAGTAGATTAACACTAACTTTAACAGTACACATTTTCCTAGTATTCAAATATATGTCCTCTGAAATCAAGATTTCATAGTCTACATGTTAAGTATTTACTAAGAGCATTCTCTTTTGTTTTTTAAATAAAAACATTCTACAAGCCATACAGTGAGAAATGTTGCATAACATCAAAATAGTAAGTGATTTTTTCCCACCTACCCAAACGCATAAATGGACTTGGCTCCCATGCAGGATTGTAGTCATAGGTATTTTCCTGTTCAACTGTCGGAACTTGAACATATTGCCTCATCCTGTACGCGAGGTTACTTTCCACGTATTCTATTCTTTTTAGCTGTCCTTTTTCAACAGTTCAGCATCTTTTCAGCTCAGTTTAGCAGTATTCATGTAATGTACTAGAAGACTGTAAACGTATCTAATTAGCTCTCCGTGTGACATCAACATAAAGCTACCAAACACGGAACAACCCAAGTATCAAATTCTGTTAACACCACCCACTGTAAACAGGATACAGTATGAATGAGATGACATGACCAGACTTGTTAAATCAAACTTTCATGTAATGTATAGCCTTCCTTTCGTATGAGAGATGACAGGAGAGAGAAACAGTTTAGTTTTAGGAAAACCTGTGCTAATTCAGCAGCTGTATACAACTTTACAGTGGTAGTATCAAACTACCAATTTGGATTTCTTTTAGTATATTTAGCAAGTTTATCATATTTTTTAAATAAATTCCTGGCTAATATGAAAGCCTTACAAAACAGACTTTTAAACAAGAATGTTAAATTTTAAGGACAGGGACACCTATTTAAAAGTCAGGAGACTAATCACATTAGAGCTACCTGTATACAATACCTTATAGTTTAAGCAAAGGCGGTATATGGAACAGTTTCTATATAAGGAACGATTAAGAAGATTGGAACTTTTCAGCTTGGAAAAGAGACGACTAAGGGGGGATATGATTGAGGTCTATGAAGTCATAACTGGTGTGGAGAAAGTAAATAAGGAAGTGTTATTTACTCCTTCTCATAACACAAGAACTAGGGGTTCACCAAATTAAATTAATAGGCAGCAGATTTAAAACAAACAAAAGGAAGTATTTAATCATACAACACACAATCAACCTGTGGAACTCCTTGCCAGAGGATGTTGTGAAGGTCAAGACTAACTGGGTTAAAAAAAAACCTAGATGAATTCATAGAGGATAGGTGTGTGACGGGTTCCCCCAGGGTGTCACATGGAATTGGCGTACCACTGAGCTCCCTGACCCACCAGCCTGGGCTCCCTCTCACACTGTACTGCTGTGACAAGCTACAAAGCCCTCCAAGCCTGCACTTTCACCAGCATACATACAGGTAGACACATACCCAGCTGCAGTTACAAGCAGGCTCTCTGACCAGCCCCTGCATGGGAAAGCTATTCCCAGCTCCTCCCTCAGGCACATACCCCCTCTCGAGTATAAACCCAAAATTATACCGTCTTGCGCTGCACAGGGAACTGTACAGCATAAGCTCATAAAATTTTCCCCCTCCCTTAATGTGGAGAGGAACATGCAACAGGCTTTTGCCCCTGAGCGATGATTCCCAAACACTGGTTTAGATAAAGCAAAGAAAGTGATTAAAAGTGATAGCAAACAGATCAAAACAGATTACTTAGCAAACAAACAAAAAAACGCAAAGTAAACTTAATATACTAAATAGATTGGATATGAATAGCAGATTCTCACCCTACGAGATAATACAAACAGGCTGCAGATTTTTAAGGGGCAAGCTGCATTTGCTTTACAGTTTGAAATCCCCCGGTGTATCATTCACAGGCTAGAAATCCCCTTAGCCTGGGTCCAGCACTTCCCCCAGTTCAGTCTTTGTTCCTCAGGTGTTTTCAGGAGTCTTCTTGTGTGGGGAGTTAAGAAGACCAATTATGTCACTCCCTGCCTTATATAGCTTTTGCATATGGCGGGAACCCTTTGTTCCAAAGCTCGGTTCCCAGACCGGTCTGTGGAAAAATACTGACATCCCAAGATATGGTCTCATCACGTTCTTGTAGAATCATAGCAGCCATCACGCACAGGCTGTTTGGAGCATTCACAGGAAGGCTCACTAGGTGGTAGATAAGCTTTTCCTAAGGCCTATTGTTTTTCCTAATGGCCCATTGCCCCAAATAGGCCCTTCCCCACCCACTATCTAGACTGAAAGTATCTTATCTAGTGGGCATTATCCAGGTGTAACTACATTTGGAATACAGATACATAGTCAATATTCATAACTTCACATACAAAAATGATACATGCATACAAACAGGATAATCAAATTCAACAACTCATAACATTTCCAATGGCACCTCACATGACTTATCTTCCATAAAATACAGTATAAATAGGTCATAATAATATAATAATATCACTGCGAAGAATATGGGGTGCAGTGTCACAAGGTCCATCGACGGCTATTGGCCAGGATGGGCAGGGATGGAGTCCCAAGCCTCTGTTTGCCAGAAGCTAGAAATGGGCAACAGGGGACGATCACTTGATGATTACCTGTTCTCTTCATTCCCTCTGAAGCACCTGGCATTGGCCACTGTCGGAAGACAGGATAGTGGGCTAGATGGACCTTTCATCTGACCCAGTATGGCCATTCATATGTTTTTTTTGAGGGTATTACTAAATTTAAATCCATTATAAAGACTCTTCTCACAGATGCCTTGGTGCAGCGAAGACTGTGAGTAGAAATTCCACTTATGGTTAAATATTTAGAAGGGTTTTAAAAAAAAAAATGCATTCCTAGGTCCTTGCATTTTTTTATCCTTTTGTCTCCCACATGATAGTCACTTGTGGCAGACTAAAAGAAACATCCACTGAAGTGCTTTTAGAAGCCACTTCAAAACTATTATAAATCTACCCATGCTAGATTTGAATGGTATTCTAATTATTGACTACTCAGTTTTACAGAGTAAAAATACTGAACTGCATGGGGATCGCAGCTTAGTTTGTCCAAAAAGCTGACCACATGACTAAATCCCATTATATTGCAAATCACAAGAGTAAAACCCCAAACCACTGAATTTGGTATAATGAAAAGTTATATAACAAAGTGAAATATTTAACTGTAATCCATGAACAGAAACATCTGAAATTTAAACTGGCTTTAATATAGAAGGCTTAATTAATGCACACTGCAAGTTTTAGGGTTTGATTTTTAAATTAAGACAGCTACAAAGAAGTTCTGAACAGCCAAATAGCATTTTTCTCCTAGTTAAAAAATAGGTAAGTAAAAAAATTGTGCCTCTATCACATGCCAGAAGTTTTTTCTTGGCCTCTTACCTATAAGAATCCCTGTCAAAATCTTACAGTTTGGACAGAGAAGAGCTTTTCATTAACAATCTGTACAAAGAGTGTGTCCACTCACTCACTGTTATTCTGATATTACCTAGGCTCTTTTATGGCCCCTCCCCATCAGCCCAAGTGCCTCCCAAGAATTAAAAATAGAAGCAACACTCTCCATCCTTCATAGTCTTGAAAAAAACAACTTGATTAGTTTATAGGCTCTGTTTGCTTGCTCATGTTTTTGTGTGAATGGATGTGTTTTGTGTTTATGAAGAAACTGAGGGAAAAACTGAAGAAATGAGGTTTGCAGTGAATTCTGAAAGTACCAGTAGTTTGTTTCATGGTCATTCTTCTCTCTCCAGGGAGTGAGTTCCCTAGTCTATCTCCAGCTCCTGTAAAAGCTGAGTCTCTGGCACTAACTAGTTTTCTTCACTGGTAAAAATGTTCAGCATACAACTAGAGCTCAGCAGTTCTGAGAAATCATGGACAAGAAGGGAGTACTGATCTCTTACGTAGCTAAGATCATAGAGAACTTTCAATATCCATACAGAGAAGTTGAATTCATCTTTGTATTCAATGGGATCCAGAACAAAGCACAAACATCTATTTAACTGAGATTACTGCCAAAGAAGAGATTCACTGCAATGATCTCATTCACTAACCAGTGGGAAAAAACAGCACTCTGGCAAACTTATTCTAGTTGCTTATAAGCATGAATTCATGTTTCCTCCACAAATTACATGTTTTAATTTTATTTTTGACTACAAGTACTGTATGGACTGTTTTAATAATAAGAAATTGGAATCCTAACTAAATACCCCGATATTTAAATTCACTAACTGCTTCAAAAAGCTTTCTGGCATCCAGTTGCATCGGTGATTATAGATTTTTTTTTTTTTTAGTATTTCCTTTGTAAACCATGCATGAAGTTTTTAAAACTTCACACTTTCCCAGGGGCATTTATTTTTCAGGAAATGCTCAAAAGTAAACAATGGTAGTGGGAGGTTAGTGTTGCTTCTCAGCTTGCACTGGAACAGTTTGCTGCAACTCTTTTCAACTCAAGATAAAATTAGAAAAAAATGGCAGAAGCCAACAACATTATGCTAAGATAATTAAAGGAGTTTAGACTTTCCATCCTTCCCTGCAGGGCTGCACTTTGATATGGTGAAATGCTTGCAGATAGGGATGCAGGCCCAGAATTGGTCTTTGGACTCATCTCAGGACCTACAATATGTTACTGCAACTCATCTGTTGAACTCGATGGGAAACTCCACAAAACTTTCCATGAAGACATATGATTGTCACCACATTCTGAGTTGATCAGTAATTGTTTGCTACAAGTCAGAAGTTAAAATAATCACTTTAAATGAATGTCAACAGTTCTAAATAAGGTCTATTCAATGCTACTATCTTAAGCAGTCTTGAAATGCATACTGAATGGCTATTAGGAAAAGTCTTCAATCAAGCTCAGAGCTGAAGCATAAAAACTCATGTATGGTGCATAATGACAACTGCACCCGTAGATGTGAAAACTTGTTATGGTTCATAAGCCTGTAAAGCTCCAAAATACTCAACAGTTGGAAATCTTTTTACTAACACAGTAATTTAGAAAAGTCATTCAATGTTATCCTCCTAGTAATGAAATCAGAGCTTTCCTTCAACCAGATGACTCACTCACCTGAGAATCTTTTGTTATGTGAAAAATGCTAGGCTTCTGCTCAGGACCATGAAATAGAAGATTTTTAATTTATAGGCACGGTTACATGACAAATGAAAGCTCTCCATTTTAGTTTTATAAGCTTCAGCAGTCAAAGTCCGAATTCTCTACCCTAATCCAAACAACTGTAATATCATCCTTTTGACAAAGTTGGCAATTTTGTCAAAATACCAGTGAATATGGGGAGGTGCAAGCAGACATGAACTTCACCATAATGTCACACCAGGCATCCCAGGAAATTTTATTTTCATTTTTGTTTCTCAGAACTTTGTCCTACAAATACTTTTATAAGTGTCTCAGTTTAGAAACCTCTGTGCCAAATTCTTTGGAAATGTTATTATACCAGAGAAAATATCTTAACATG